TACAGTACCTAATTTATATATAATACTGTACAGACGATAGCAAACTCAATTTACCCGCCTAAACTTTCCGTATCGTGGCGCTGGACGGCGGAAAGTAGTTCGGCTTCATCCACTATTGGTCCAATCTTGTCGCGACATGAGTCGGCGACGACGTTTTATGAGTCCCTTTATACGAATACTGCCGCAATTTTTTCGCTACGTTATAGGAACCCACGTTATAGGGGGGTCGGCTGTATATCTTGTCTAATTCGAATGAAAGTTATTTGAAGAATATATTTTTGGTGTTTAACAACATTTAATATTAAAATAAGTTTAATAGTAGTCTGTTTTATTAATAATAATTATTTTGTTAAAATTTTTTGAGTGTTATTAATAACTTGATTTAGCAAATGAAGTTCACCAAATTCATCAATCAAGACAGTCAAAGAACGTCTACCTAGACTCTAGGGGTGCATATACTTTTCATTTTGTATAGATCAATCTGTAAAATCGGATCAGTCCTTGTCACGTGATACAGATAGCTTCTGTCATGGCGGAAAGTATACGAGTAGGATCGAAGATGGCGGCAAGTTTAGAAATCATTTTAGAAATATTATCGGAATTAGATTCAGAATCCGAGGAAGAAGAATTAATTTTGGTTAATTATTTAACACAATATAAAAGTAAGAAAAAAAAGAAATCGGTATGCAAAATAACTAACTATGTTTCAGAGGTTGCATTAAAATATAGGCCAAATGTTTTTAAAGAACACTTTCGAGTAAGTCGACTTACTTTCGAAAATTTACTGAAGGATCTTGTTCCCATTTTATTACAATCAAANTATGAGAAGTCTTTTAAATTTATAATATATAGCCCACATCAGGTGATATTATTGTACAAAGTTAAGAATTATAGATAATACTGGATACTAAATACATGTAAGCACACACTTATGAATACATATTTGAGATCTTCGAGAAAAGCTTAGCTTCCGTTGCATATATTTAATAGTGTCACGTAGGCGTACGAAGTGCCAGTAGAATAACAAGGAAATGGGTTCAACATATCAAATCAAATCATTTATAAAAGGTTTTAGGAATCGTCTGGAACTCGGGTCCGAGTCCTTCAAATGTCTGTAGCTCTAAATTTAAGCAGTTTTTATCTTCCTGAACAGTCAATAAAAACTGCTTAAATTAAATTATACTGTACTTTAAAAATGATGATATTTTCATTATAATAACAGTGTTATAACGGGTTATTTATTTATTTATGATAGAACCTGTACCGTATCCTGTTTCAGTGGCTATACTTTTGATGACGAAACTACGGTTAAAGATTTCAGGTGCATTTACGACGGAAATGAATGGGTGGTCAATGAAGAAATAATTCCGAAGAGATGCAAACCAATTAGTTAATATTTCTTTTAAATTTTTATGTTGTTATATTTTATAGAGATTATAACAAATAAAAAATGCATTATATAATCATAAAAATTTTATGATTAATAATTAAAATGTATATTGTATTTATTTTAATATAAATATAACGTATATTTACCTTTTAGTTAAACTGAAATAATACATTATCATTTAATTAAAAAAATACTTTCATATTTTTAAAATACAATACTTGACGAAAATAAATATTTGAATAGTAATAAAAATAGTACCGAATTTTTCAATGTGATGCATATATTAATTTAAAAATTAAGTTTTATGACTGAAATTATTTGTATCCAAACAAAAACATCTGAGGTGTAAAAAGATTTCGCCAAGTAAAAAATTATGACAATTTAGACCACAGTCAAAATTTTGTTTAGGAGTTTTTCCTTTTTTACAGTTAAGCTTGGCACTTATTCTGAATAATATTTCGAATAAAATTCATTTGTTTCTATGAAATTTTATCTTTATAGGCATAAAATTAAGCCATACAAATGAATTAGCTCTATGAGAAACACCCATGAACTTTAACTTATCGACCCGGAAGTTTGGCCAGCACCTCACTGATAACGAGAAAGGTTTAAATTTAAAATTTAAGCGTTTTAGAGCCAGTAATTTTTTCTCTACGAGCGTCTACAGTGCCGGACGAAGAAAATGAAAAAGAAGAAAATACAGGTTTTTGTCGATATTGCACTTTTTAATTGTTTATATTTCGTCAACCGCTTCATAGAAAATCTTGAAATTTTGCACACTACCTAAGAATACAATTTTTTTTCGAACGAGATATTCGGAATTATCTTAGTTATTTGGGAAGCAAAGAAATCGACTCCCAAAAATTGTCAACTCTGATTCCTTGTATATATAGTCAGTCAGTGACTTTTTTACTTGGCGGGGATTCACTGCCGTATCTCGTGATATATGGGAAAAAGAACGTTGTTGAACACTTAGAGCATAAGAATGCACAAAAGATACACCCGCGAGAGACGAAGATGAGTCAGAAGCTTTTTGTGGTAAGATATCTTCGAAAACGTCAGGACTGAGTTACTGAATGTATTTTGCTTTCATTTTCAATCAATTATTTAATTAAACGTTATATATTCTTTTCTTTTAATCATTAGTGGATCTAAAATTCGTATCAACAATCTTACATATACAATTACACAAGTTATATATTTGTGCACTTAATTATAAAATACGTAAATATATCTTGGATATCTTATAAAACAAGATGAAAGGATCAATTCGGAAAATCGAAGAACAGAAGGTTCTGCTTAGAAACATCTTCGCATTATAATCCCTTTTTTGACATAATTATTTCTGAAAAGTCATCTTATTTGTCTTATTTAGTGTGAAATATTGCAATAATTTTGCTAAAAATACGATTTAAGCCAGTAATACCACATAGAGATGACTTAAAAATTAAAACAATTTAAATGATTATTATGACTTTAATTAAAATGCCTCAATTTGCCATGATTGCTGTATTTCTCTACCAGTATTACTATTTATTCTATTATTTTGTCTATATAGAATAAATAGAATAAATAGTAATACTGGTAGAGAAATACACGAATCATGGCGAAGAATCATAGAAGAAGGGGCTATCTGAAGGATAAAAAGAAGAATCGAAAGAAGTAGAAACGAGGTGTTAGTCAAATTGAACAAGAACAGATGTAACTTGTAAAAAATAGTAAATAAATGTAAAAAAACTGATATAATGTTAATATAATAATTTGTTTAATACAGGTTTAAGTTCACAGCAATATTGTTTTTGTTGGTTAAAATTGAATGCCCAATTGAGTTAAAAACGAAAGAAAATCTGGTTTTTTAATTTATATGGAATATACTACAAAAATACCTGCTGAGAAGGGACAAATGTGTCCGAAACGCAAAATTATGTGTGTGTCCAGGTATATTAAATAAAATAAAAAATTGTTTTCTGTGAAACTCTGTAGCATTATCTGTAAAGCCAGTATAATAAGTCCTGATATTAGAAGATATGTACAGTACTTGTAGACGAAAATTTATATTTTAAATCATTATGACTATTGGAGTTTTAAAAATGTATACAGTACATTACTAGTCATAAAAGATAAGTAAAGCAGAACTTTACGATCTACGTATTGTATAAAAATGACAAATAGTATAAATAGATACAGAGAAAATAGAAAACTGTAAATATAAAAAGCCTTTGATCACTGACACTATAAAGAATTAAACATTTATATACGCCATACACCATATTACTTACATGAATGATAGTAAACTAAAAGACTAAAAAAGCGACTTGAGGAAAAGTGGAAAGATGGAATATGAAGAAAGATGTCACGCACATAAAGCCTAGACTTGGGAAAGAATAAAATAAAATGACACAAATGGCGAATACAATAGCTATACGGCCGTTCGATGATGATAATGATGTACAGTAGACCCCCTATAACGCTTAGATACGTTCCACTTTATAAGAATTTTACGTTGTAGGAATCCTTAAATACATGAGCCAATCACAGCCCGACATGTGTGAAGTTTACGGACTAAGGCTGTTTGAAAGGTTTTCTTCTATAAAATTAACCGATTCTAGATTAATCGACTCAACATTTCCAAAACACGTATAATTTTTTGGGAATAATCCGTATAAACTATGCTATAAATAAAAAATTGTAGGATTACTTACCGAGTGTGCACCATTCAACGACGCCGTTGCTTAAGCTTGTTTTCGTCGTAGAGCGGCGCATCGAACGGCGGGCGCATGTTTTCTGATAAATTATTTTACTGCGAAAAATTCGTTGACCTTTGGAGACATCATTAATAGAAATAATTTTTATGGCCGTTGAATGAGAAATGTTTCTTTCACAAGAAATGTATAAAATTAGTGCTGTATTAGATTTACGGTACTTAATTTACATACTGTACAGACGATANTATGATAATCATTTGATTTTAACTGTATATAGTTCTTTTATACATAAACTATGTGGAATGAATGTCTGGGATTGAAATAGGAACATATGTTCTATTGTAGATATTAATTTAAAAATATCACTTGTATTTGGTTTACGAATTTAAAATACTGTACTTTTATTCAAATTATTCATCGATAATTTATCATATGTAGGTTTCTTCACTCGAAATGTAATTTAAGGAATAAGACTTAAAATAAAGCTTCATTTAAGATATTTATTTCGAATAAAATATATATATTTTTTTCAGCTGGAATATAAAAATACAAGATTAAAAATACCTGAAGAATGAAGCACAATTTTGTAAAAGTCGTTTGATATTGTTCAAAACTTGACGATTGTTAAATATTAAACGTGTTTAGATTTTGTGTTTGTGTTTTATTTTGTTTAGTTAATTATGATCGTATTATTAATTTGAGAAATATTAATATTACTTAAAATTCGTTTTTATGTAATTCCGTTGAGAAAAAATGTATTCAAATACTAATGAATATATTCAATATCGTTCCGTATATGTAAAGTTATAGTGGCGGATTCAGAAGTCCCAAATGGAAAGGGACTAATTTAAAAATGAAAAATATTTGAATAATTAATAAATACTATGTATACTACCATTTTAGTGACATATACTAGTAGACGACTATTACATTGCGGATGGTCCTATAAATCATATTTGTTATCATAAATGCATTTTAAAAACAGCTTTTTGAAATCTGAACAAATAAATTTTAACTTTTTTCTGTTGTATATATCCACTTGCATCCACCACTGCACATAGGCAGTGCATCTTCTGTATTTCTGCTTCGATTTTTGTGATAAGAAAAAAGCAGATTAGATTCCAAACGTTTTCGAATTCTAGTTTTCTTAAATAAAAATCTGCAGTAGGTGGGAATGATAATAATTATTTCTCAGTCTATTGTAATTGAAATAAAGTTACCTAAAAAAAGCTACTTTAAAACTGAAAATTAAAAGTTTGAAGTTTCATTTCTTAAAATTTAGTAAATTGTTTTATTTTTTAGTCTTTAAGAATTGAAATTTAAAAAAAAAATTAAAAAAAACACTACCGAATAGAACTATCCTTTTTATTTCTAACAAGTAAGACGATTCTGAGTTGAGTCAATTAAAATCTACAACACAATATTTTAATTTGTGATTTTAATTGACTCAACTCAAAATCGGCATTGAAAGAAATAGGATAGTTCTTTTCGGAAGTGTTTTTAAATTTAAAAAAATATTTTAAAAGACTAAAAAAAAGCCGACTCCATTGTTAATTTTTAACTTATTGACTTTCGTTTTATTTTTTATTTTTAGTTTTACTTTATTAATTTATTAGTAGATGAGCCCGTTACGTTTATCGCGATACTCAGACGGTACGAAATGGCACAATTTCATTGGTCAAGTAGACACCAATTGAAAATACAATATGATATCTTAAAAATTTAATATATTTTACCTAATGTTAACTGTAAGAAATTGTGCCCTTTAAAGCAAAATATCAAACATAATCTGCCAATCAATAAAATTTTGTGAAAGATGGACCAAATATTTAAACTCGGAACCTTCGAAAACCGCTTAAAACATATTTTGTGCAGGCGGTAACCTCGTATTACGTTGATTATGATGATGTCACAATAAATAATCGCTTGTTAGAATTAGTTTGTTTTATTTGGTTATAACGCGACATGTGAGCGATCTGCATCTCAGAAGAACTTTTATGTAAAGCTGGCTTCTATTTACATCAAGAGTCTCCAAACTATGGCCCGCAAGATCAGTTTATCCGCAGTGTGCCACAAATGAGCTAAAATATAATTATTTATATGGAAATATCATAGATTGTAGATAAACTTAGACTTATTTTAATTTTTTCTGCATAGTGCCAGTAAGTGAAAATGCTAAAATTGGTCCAATCTCATTTTTGCATCTGACAATAATATAATTTTTAAAAAATCAGTGAAATAAAAAATTTGACGACTTTTTGCGACTTCAGATATCAAAGCACTTTTTGCGTAAGTACAGTACCTGTAACTAAGTTTCTAAAGAAAGCAATTACGAGCTTGCTGCAGCGATCATATTTGTGTATTGGTAAATAAATATGTTGGTTGTCTTTATTTTTTGTGTATTTAGTGTGCTGTATTGATCAAAATGGTTATATGACCAGCACTGGTCATTTTCACCAGTTATCTGTGTGAAGCTCCGGAAGTAGGTCGAAATTCGTGCACAGAAAATGTTTTAATTTCGTATGGAAATTTTTTTTTTTAATAATTATAATTATTATTCTTATAATATTGTAAAAAGAAACTGTCGAACGCAAAATGAATATTTTATGTCCTTATAAGGCCATATCTGTAAAGATTTCTAAGAAAGTCGAACTACTCAGGTTAAAACAATAGATGAATTTGAGTGTTTAGATCGAACATCTTCGATAGGAATCAAATTGTCAGTCGGTGTTGACTCACCCCGTGATCTGGGCTCCGATCTCGTTACAATTCGTAACGGGTAGGGGGATCAAATAGAGAGCGGGGGTAGATCGGCATCGACCTATCGGAATGTTCGATCTGGGACCTAGAAAAAACTTATAAAACTTATAAAAACCGCGCAAAAAAAGGATGTGACGTTCTTGGTTCCAGGAGCGGAGCACACCGAACTCTTAGTTCGGTGTGCTCCGCTCCTGGATTTTTCTTGCGATTCAAGAACGGAAACTTGGTCGTCGTTCCGGAAGAAGTTTTCGCCATCCCGTCCGGGCAAGTTTCGCCAAGTTAACCTGCTATGAGAATCACCCCTTCAAGTTGTGCTGTGCGCCCCGGAGCCTATGTTTTTCTCATCATCTTCGCCAGAAGGAGAGAAGATCGTCGAAAAGATTGAACTTTATTTACGAACTGATTCACTCTGCGGATAGGCCTTACGCCGAAGAAAAACAGTAGTTGTAAGAAAAATTTTTATATTTACTAAATCGTATACGATGGAGAACCTGTCTCAGTAAGTTTTTTCACTCCCACACGACAGTGCTGACAGTGCGACAGTGCAGTACTGTCGCGACACTTTCTCCCCAATCGGCAAACCTCACATCTGGCTCGTTGTGAAAAAAGTTTGGGACTCCTGATTTAGATCATACTAACGTTAAGAATATCTGAAAAACTCCACGTAGCCAATCCGTGGCCATGCCAAAACCCACGACAAACTAACTATCGGTGTTCGGTGCTTTTATCCATTCGACTACTGGAGGGCACTTATTAATTAAGAAAGTATCGTTCAGAAATGAAAAAGTCCGAGTGCTATATGCCTTCTTTTGCAGTAATTAAGTGAACGTAATATATATATATATTTAAAATTATATGTTTTTTGTAAGCATTATACAGTATTTAGTTTATGATTTTGTTAAATTTTTGCCAATAGATGGCGTTACGTGTAAATCAGCAAATTGAATATAGATGTAAATTAATTGATTTACAAAATTTCAATAGCTATTTTGGGGTGGGGTATAACATTATCAAAGTTAGAAGTATGTAAACGTAACTGCCGAGATTCGTAGCAATTGGTCGAGCAGTCTAGGAATGTATAGAAAACATACAAACAAACATTCTCATTTATATATATATATATATGTATTCAGTATATATATGTAAATATGAAATAAAACAATACTAGTTCCCTATAGTCCTAATACTGTATTAGGGGTATTCAAATATTCTCATATTCGAGATGTGATTAATATTCAAATTCGATATTTGAATTCAAGTAAAGTGATATTTGCCCATCTCTTGCATTAATGTAAAGTTCATATATTTTGTAAGAGTTATTTTATTAAAAAAATATCAGTAATTGCATTATTTTTAAAAAGCTAGTTATTAGACGATATTAATTGCATTATCTAAAGATTAAAATATTAAACATTACAATACACTCATGCTAATCTGGCCTCTGAATTACCTGGCAGTTTCTACAAGAACTACTTATATTTATTCTTAGTATCATATTGACTAGATGTCATGTGATTGCAATGTGTTAACAGTATTACCAATTGGAGAGAATAAACAAAAAGAAAAACGTCGGATTGATTTATAGGAACCAATGAAGTCATATAAAATAGAAGTCTATTCCATTTATATTTATAATGTTTTTTTTCTTTTTGAATATGTAACAAAAATTTATAGCACACAACAAAATCACTAAAAAATTTTACATTAGTTTAAATTTCGTATTTTATATAAAAAGTATATAATTGTTATACTTTATTGAGCACGAAATCATACAAAATATAAAAATTACACTTTAGTTATGAAAATTTGATATTCTTAACGTGAATCTAATTTAATGTATTATTTATATATAAGCCTATGTACAGTACCTTTAGTATGTATACCTTAATATATACCTGTATATACTTATACAGCTATTCCTCGTATAACACGGTAGTTACGTTCCGAAAAAGTGTCGTGTTATGCGAATTCCTGCTATACGAAACAAAGGACTAATGCAAAACATGGGGTTAGGTTCCAAAAGTTAGCAAAAGTAGGCTATACTATTCTTTTTCGTTACTAAGAAAAATATGTTTACTAAAGCAATCGATAATTTATTTTCAATCAATAATTAACTAACAATCACAATTAAATGTACTGTATTATATGTTAACATTACAGTAATCGAAAATTTGTTATAGCGGGTCGCGTTTGTTCAGTCTAGAATTTTTTTCAAAAGAATTTTTTTCCAGAATTTGTGTCCGAATACTGAATTGTTCGAGTTAAAAAAAGTTTGAGTACCCAGATACCGTTGTATTTCGTTCGTCATTTTCACGAATGATTACTTGCTTACAGTTAAAAAAAGTTTAATAACACTTACATAAAAATGTTTAAATAAATTTTACTAAATACAAAGATTAGTGTATCCAAACACAGTGACAATATTAAACCTTAAAATCTGAAAGCAACGACAACGACGACATCGGGTTGATAGGAAAGTTACGTCAATGAAGAAAAGACTGCACTGTCAATTTTAATTAAAGCAAACCCATTATTAACTAGAAACAAAAATGCATACACTTTTATCAATTTAACCATATTACACCAGCAGAACACAACTCTATCTCGCACTTTTAATTCAGTAACTCATATCTATTTTGTACAAATGAGTTTCGACATATTCTTTTTTGTATTATGTGTAAATTGTACATAATAATCGCGTTCTAGGAATGCTTTTAAAATAAACACGACAAAAAATAATAGAGGTAACAATTAAATGACCAGTTAAACAGGTTACTCCGATTCTATTTTTCCCGTGTGGATTTTTTTAATATCAATACAGTGATACCCCGAACTTACGCGATAGGTGGGACCGAGCGATAACCGCGTAAGTCGAATTCGCGTAAGTCGGGGTATATTTTCGCAATTTGTGTAAAACCCAAGTCGGATGTATGTAAGCTAATAAATGTTCTTCTTTATCCTATCTCGTCTTTTGATTCGTTCGCGGTTAGAAGAAATCTCCACATAGAGTCTCTCAAGTCTCTAGATATAACAAACACAGAAATGAAAAACACAAAATAAATTGTGGCTATGTGTCGATTCCGCGCGACACGTCCGAACATGTAAGCTGAACAATAGTGTGGGAGAGTGAGTAATCAAGGTTTGCGTGGCGCTCAAATAAAAGACGAATCGACGAGATTTGAAAATCGCGTAACTCCGGGTTCGCGTAAGTCGGGGTAGCGTAAGTAAAGGTATTACTGTACCAGTATATATTAACTTACAACAAATACTAGATACTGCGAAGATGTATTATATATTAAAATGGAGAGATAAGAACACTATCTATGAAAAAAGCAAGTAGATTGTATTAAGTAGATAATACAATCTAGCTACTTCGTATTTGTCTTCCAGAGCAGTTGGCTGACACCTTAATTCAATTTCATATAATGTAAAAAATAAATTATATATTACTTGTGCATATTTTTATCGTTTGGCTGAACAAATTAATCACCGTGACTTTCGAGAAAACGTGCTTATCATTCAAATACGTAGTACAATATTAACTACTATTCCATGCCTCATACCTCTGAATCCGGATTTGACAAATCGCTAAAGCAATCTTACAATACAAACTGAAGGGCTGAATATGAGAAATATGGTCGTATAAATTAGACTCATCACATCTTTTCGAAAGAGACAAAATAAATAAAATTAGCATTCTTTACTACTTCAAATATATTTTAATTCATATGATTTTCTATTCAGGTTTTCTACATAATAGATCGAAGATTTAGAAGATTTCTTTTGTTCAAAAATTTAATCTAGTTCGTAAGATAGTAGCCTTCGGCCTTTGTTCCAGGCCACTGGCATGAATTATTCTACAAAGAAATAAAACAAGAAAACAGGATATGCGACATGACTAACATTTTCAAGAAAACGGAAGCGTATATGCCAGGGGTCGCCAAACTTTTTTAACTGTCGACCCCCAACCACTTTCCAAAACCTCACATTGACCCCACCGTAAAGTTTTATTACAAGTGTAAGTGTATGAGCAAAAAAAAAAAATAAAATAAAATAAACGTTGTGATCTCTGATATCTGTATAAGAAAAAAAAAAAAATTGTAACCCATTGCCGCATCGACTCCCTAATCGACCCCCTAGCCACATCGACCCCTGGGGGTCGATGCGGCTACGGGGCGACCCCTGGTATATGCGATCACAGAGGAATGTATGCCGGATAATTGAGAGCCGATTAGCGAGAGTCTACTGTGTATTATTATTTTAAATAATTACAAAAACGTTCTTTAGTTACAATCTTTCGTTTAATTAAAGTTCTGGCATTGACTGAAAAGTTTCTGATTAATTGCAGTTAATTAGTGACGTAGATCTGACGTAGATAAGATCGTTTGGTTTTTATTTATAAATTTCGTCCCATTTCCAGAGTCACTCATTCCGCCACGGTTAAATTCGGTATTAGTCACTATGAAGACCGCTATTTTATTGTTCTTTTGTTTGGTACAGTGTTTTACTTTACAGTAAGTGTTTTCATGAAATTCTTGGAGATTTATATTACATATTGTGTACTAAATTGAATTAATTTGATTTTTAATAGAGATTTTGGAAATAGACAAAAACTCGGTAATGATAATTTTAAATATCATAGATTATTCTTTTAAAGTAAATTATTCTTATACAAGTATTTTTCATAATTTTTATCTAATAGATTCTGGCAATCCATTAGGAAATATTTCAATTGAAGATTTAATCTATCAAAGAGGTATTTTTTCATTTATTTGATAACGTTAACTTACTTTATTTAAAGTAAAAATTTCAATCCAGTAGGAAAAAATATAAAATTTATTTCATATAAATATTTTAATTTCGTTTGTGGAATAGACTATGTCTGTCAGATGCCAAGACAGACTAAGAACACACAAGAATACACATACTGTGTATGTAAAGCCGCATTGTTCAAGAATCAATTTCAATTGCTGTACTTGTTAGGCCATTTAATTTATGCCTTCACTTTCTGGAAGTAGTTTTGACACTCAATATACAATTTTAAGTAGCAAAAGTTAACAACAGTTTAGTTTTAATGCCAATATTTGTATTCTTGACGCCAATTTTTATCGGGATGTAAGGATGCACGGATAATCCGCACTCGGATAATCGAGATTATACTGTACGTAGAGCAGTTACAGATAACAACTATTGGGATTACAAAAATGTTAAATCATTATATTGTTGTGTGGACAGATTTTAGGTTGTATCGGCAAGGTATAGAATACAAAGATAAGCCTATAGGTAGCTATAAAAATTACTATACACAGGTAAATTTTTATTACTTTAAATGTGAAGTATTATATTATACTATAACTAATTTTTTAAAATATTTAATTATATTAAAAAAGTAATAATTCGAATGAATCAAATTACAAATACTCGTCCCATTTCTGTATTAGAGATTTAGAGTCCACCAGTAGACTTATGGATAAAACCGTTAAAACATTGGTAGTTGGTGATGGATTCGCACCTCGCCAACAGGCTGGCCATGTGGAGTTTCCGGGTTTTCTTCATATTTATAACACCTAAATAGGGGTTAATTTCCCGTAAAAGTCGTGCATTCCCCGCTCGACAGATGTCCAGATATCTTGTTTCCGTAACCAAACCAATTAAATAAATTCTATATTACAGTATTATATAAACTTTATGCAAATTTTAAGATCACTGCATTACTTTTTCATATAATATACCAATTTTAAGAATTACAAACAGAATTGGTTGTTTTGGATGTACGACTATTTTAAAGATAACACTTTAATTTTATAGTAAAAGATTAAGCTTTCCTTCATAAATGTTTTCTGTTAAATTCCGTGTAATAAAATCAATCATTTCAAATTATATAAACTGTTTTAAGATAATGAATTACAAAATATAAATAATTATGAAAAACAAAATTAAATTCTGTTTGATGCTCACAAACACAAAGCTTAATTATTGATAAATATATTTTTTTATTGTTTTATATTGTAAAGAGTAGTTTTATTTTTATTAAAAAAGTTATTTTCTAATATAAATAGTAATAAAATTAGATTCAGATAATAATAACGGAACATGCTCCTATTGTTTGCTGTAAATTGTTATAACTTTAAAAAATAAAGAGAAAAACTAAGGTGCTTTAGTTTACTCTTAAAACTTGAAAATTAAAAACAATATGTTTTAACCATTGTCATCTTTTCTACATATTAAAATTAATTAAGTTATTTTTTTAAACAAATAATTGCTAATTCATTAATTACAAATGAAAAAATTTACAAAAAACTTAAAATACATAATGACAAGGAAAATTTCATTAAATGTATTAGTAATGTAATAGACTTACAAATTTATGATGAATATGATTAATAGTGCTTTTTTTTTTAAACTTTTAAAACAATTACGGTATTCAATATTTTCAGTTATTACAAGCAGGAAAAAATAGGCGATTTTATTTTCAAAAATTTTGGCTGTAACTAATTACTTAAGATATGGGCTTTAGTTAATTATTTTCAGACAAGTAACATTTTTTGTGCCTGAGATGTGTGATTTTAGATATTGTTATAGATAAATACAAAATAGTTAGACAGGGACGAATTCTCTGGACTTGCTTAGCATGCACCGCATTCTTAAGAGAAAGTTTTGACTGTCAATATATTTTTTATATGAGAACAAATATGCCAATAATAATTTATTCTAATGTGTAAACTCTTTTATCATTTGTGTTTGCTTTTACATTGACAGCTAGCGGCTTGTCGTTTTAAGTCAGTGCCATGCTTGCGGTTACTCCTGTGGAGGTTTGCCCCAGCAAACAAGTGCGCACGCATGACGTCATTCGAAGCATTGAACACGGTCAGATTGTATCGAAAGCTTGCGGTACCCAGTCAGCATATATGTATACAGGGACGGATCTACATAGAGATTAAAAGGGCTTAAGCCCTAACCCCCAATGTCAAGAACCCACAAAATTTGAATAATTATCATAAATTTTTAACACTTTTTCATCTTATAATGTAAACGAGATGGGTTATAATAATAACAATAATAACAATAATAATAAGCGCAGAGCCCAAACGGTTAGAAGTTGAAAGTTGAAATTTGGTACACAAGATACGCCATGAGGATGCAAACTAAGAAGAAATTTTTGGAAATTCCACCCCTCTCCCCGGAGAAAGAGAGTTTTAGTCAGTATAAAGTGTAAATAATAAAGAAAGAAAATAAATAGTGGCACATATACATTTTGGTAATTAATAAATATTTTAATCATTTCCACTTTTCAGTTAACTCAAGAACAATAAATATAAAGTAAACGAATTAGAACGAATATTTGAATTCATTCCAAATTCGAAAATTCGAAATATAATGTTCCAAACAAGTTTTATAGGTTTTAAAATTTAAAATTAAATCATTTATTCAAGTAAGGTTATCATCAAGTAAGTTAATTCTCCATTATAATGAAAAATTTTCTGATTTTTTTTATTTTTTTAGGTTACTTAAATAAAAAATTTTTTTAAATACTAAATTATACTAAAAATAATAACTTGTATATTTATTCAGTTAAAATTCAATAATGATTTTAATCATTTCTTTTGCGTTTTTGACTGCGTTATTGCATAAGAATGCATACTAAGAAGTGATTTTTGGAAATCCTCCCGTGGGGAACAGAAAGAGAGAGAGGGTTAAAGATTACCCTGAAGAACTCGGCTTCAACTATTCTATTTTAGATGCGGTGCTTTGCGTTTATGCGCGAAATCGAACATATTTTTGACCCGTCTAAAAATTCTCTAATTAGCCTCGGAAGAGAGTGACCTAATTCTTGCACCTGATCAGATAGGCCAATTATTCTTATAACTTTCAGCATGCTCAAAAATTTTGGTCTTGATTCGCCCNTTAATTGATGATAAATCATAATATATTTTATAAGATAAATTTATATGAGGTATTGCACACAACGGATCCCCATTGGTAGAAAATTATATTTGAAATAGCATGTGGATTCCTTCCACTTTCGGAATTTTTTTCTGAAAATGGCACGTTTCAAATTTTTAAAAACATTCGAATTAAAGAATCCAGTTATAACGGAAGGTATAAAAATAAGCCTGAAGAAGATCCCAGGAGGGGAGTCGAAAATGTTCGCTGATTTTTAAAGAATTTCACACCAATTACTGGTTAATTGTAGATCATTGTTTATTTGAAGGAAGACAGATCACTTCCTGCATAAAATAACATCAAATGGACATTTCCTGGAATCAATGTTCTACTGCATTGTCAATTTATACTTCTGACCTGAGTGTGGAGGTCCATTTTGATAAGACCAGCAGACAAGCGAACCACTGAACATCTGATGGGACAACGCTAATTTGAGCTGCTTGAAATATACAAAGCAATCAACTTTAATGATGACCACACATTCCTAAACCATGGAAATTTTTCCTTCACCATCCATAAACCATGGGTTCATACAGAAACTGTCTCCTCCAATCAGAGACTACCCAGATCAGAAACTTCTCCCCCAATCAACAAACAACAACTCATTGCATTCAAATTTTCAAACACTGCGGCTCCATTTTTCAGCCTGATGATGTCCAATAGAATGTGGACAAAAACATTTATGTGAGCAAAAAACTTTTGCTGGACTTTAGGCTATTGAGTAAATTAAATATCTGATAATTAAAAAGTTATACTGCATATTTAATTTCTTAATTCAAAAACAGCAATTTATCATGGATTGTATCATAATAGAAAAACTTATCTATAACAAATGTCAAATAAGAGAATAAAAGTATCATAAATCATAAAAAATAAATATAAATAAATCATAGAAAGACTGCTGATATATCTGGTATTTGATTAAATTAATTTCTTGAAGGGAAATGCAGCTGCAAACCATTAGATAAGTCAAATTTTAGTACTTCCTTAAAAATGCATAAAAAATTAAAATTAAATGCTTTTTTACAAGAATAAACATTTGTAGAAAATATTTTATAAGTTTAAATAAACAATTTAGTTTTGTTTTCTAAAAAAGACAGAACCAGCACAACCTGATGCAACAACTTAAAGGTGTTGAATCAGATCTTGTATTGATTCCATCTTTAGAAGAATAAATAAATACTTTAAATAATTTTTTAATTAGTTAAGTTAAAAAAAGAGATTGAACAAATAAATTTAAAAATTATATATTTAACTTACAATGCTTTCTTTATGTGTACAATCATCACCATCATCACTACTGCAATACATTGGACGATGACCCATTGTTATTATCCATGGTCGCTTGGCTCTATTTTCTGGTTTAGTTGCTTCCTAAAAATAAATTTATAATTAAATTGATTTATAACCAATTAGTGCCTATATAATGATCAAGCTTGTAACACAGATACCTATTATAATAACTGTATAAATAAAGCATATTCTTATTTTCATCAATTTACCTTTAAATCATTCTCTAGCCATTTGTATTGATTAATTACTTGTTTCCAGCCATATTCTAAGTAGAAATAAAATTCAGTTGACAAAGCTATAATATGAGCAGAACCAATATCAAAACTGTAATAAAAATAATTTTGTAAAAATTAATTAAATATGTATTTCATAAAGTTCATAATTTTTATATTGAATTATAAGTTTTGATCCTACCTATAAAAATGATTATTCATTTTTCCTGTTTTCTCCAACATACTAAATCTATTTACATAATTAGAAAAATTGCTGAAAATAAATGAATTTATTAATTTTCAATATACAGTGAAACTAATGATCATTGTAATAACATTTACATTACTGATCAGGATAAAGAATTTTTTATTTCAAATAACTAAAGAATTTTTGTTGTATTTGTCAAGTGTATGCCTTTTGATGAAATAATGTAATAATTTATGTAATAAAATGATACTTTGCACAAAAGGTCATAAAAAAAGAATATCAAAATTTTAATAAGTCATTTCTCAACATTGAATATTTTATTTACCCAATTGTTAATTTAAATAATACTCTAACAACAAAATTTTAGTTTAGTCAAAAAGAATTGAAAAAGATTCATCTTACCATATTTATATAAAAGAGTTTCAGTTTAATACAGTATTTTATTTTAAAATTAAGTATTTTCATTGATAAACTTGCAATAGTTAGCATAGACCAAAACATGCTAAATTTTGTCACTACTATTTTTCAACTTATGCATTTAACAAGATGGAATTTCCCATTTTTTACTATGTCTCAAGTTTACATTCAAGCAACTTTATTTCTTCATAAATTTTCTGATATGAACAAAAAATTTTTAATAAGAGTTTTAAAATAAAAATAAACCTTNTCGAGATCCAGTTGATCCTAGATGGCGTTTGTATACGCAAATAGAGATCGATCGGATCACAGTAGTTCGTTTGTATACACGATTTGTACGATCGAAGTGATCTTGGATCAGTTTGATCCCAAAAGTATATGCACCCTAGGTAGACGTTCTATGAGTGTCTTTGATATTTGAAGTAATATAGTCTAATGACGACTTTTGAATAAGATCAAATATCTTAGTTCGTGCTGTGTAGAAATTACATTTTATTGGTTAATAATAATAATAATAAGTTGACAAAACTGCGTCAAACAGCTGGTTAAATCGAGGATGCCTCTTTGGGGAGACGGAAGGATTCATGATTGCCATACAGGATCAGGTCATAAATACTAAAAACCACAGAAAACACATACAGTAATACCTCGACTTACGCGAACCCGGAGTTACGCGATTTTCAAATCTCGTCGATTTGTCTTTTGTTTGAGCGCCATGCAACTCTTTATTACTCACTCTCCCCCACACTATTGTTCAGCTTACATGTTTGGACATGTCGCGGGAATCGACACATAGCTACAATTTATTTTGTATTATTTATTTCTGTGTTTATTATATTTACGGAGACTTGAGAGAGACTATGTGATGATTTCTTGTAACCGTAAACGAATCAAAAGACAAGATAAGATTAGCGAGAACATTTATTAGCTTACATACATACGACTTGGATTTCACACAAATTGCGAAATTATACCCCGACTTACGCGAATTTGACTTACGCTGTTATCGCTCGGTCCCACCTATCGCTTAAGTTCGGGGTATTGCTGTACTCTAAGATACAACACTCAACAACAGATTATTTACACTGACATAATCAAGTAGCAAATATAATACACCAAGAGCTTGCAAAGAAACACAATTATTAGACATCCACGAACCATACTACAAATACATTCCATAGACAGTATTGGAAAACAACAAGCCTCAAACTGTACTACGACAGAGCCATAATCACAGATAAAACAATTTACCACAACAGACCAGACATCACACTCATTGACAAACACAATAAAATCACATACATTACGGACATATCCATTTCAAACACTCACAATGTACAAAACAAATGCACTGAAAAAATCAGTAAGTACATTGAACTTGCTTAGGAAATAAGGATTCTGTAGAGGATGGATAGAGTGCTTACTGTGCAAGTCGTTCTCTCCTCTAGAGGTGTCATACCACACACACTAAACAAAACCCTTGGCACATTACAATTGAATAGAAACACATACATCACAATACAGAAGGCCACTATATTGAATACATGTCATATTGTGAGGAAATTCCTGAATACAAACACACACACTGACACACTTATTTAATTTTTGGTTGCTATGCCTTGACTTTGGTCCGGCATAGTACACAGCCACCGGTATTAACCGAGTATAACGCACATAACCCAACATACCATGTTTCCCCGAAAATAAGACAGTGTCTTATATTAATTTTTGCTCTGAAAAATGCGCTAGGTCTTATTTTCAGGGAATATCTTATTTTTTCCAGGAAGAAGAATTCACATTTATTATTGAACAAAAAAATTCTCAAGTCGAACTTAGACGAGAGTGACGTATATCCGGTGTGTCGAACTGTGGCCTTTTTATAGCGTCAACATCGGACTCGATGACCAATTAGTGCTTACTGAACCGTAGCAATATGCAAATGTCNATTTTGTCACTACTATTTTTCAACTTATGCATTTAACAAGATGGAATTTCCCATTTTTTACTATGTCTCAAGTTTACATTCAAGCAACTTTATTTCTTCATAAATTTTCTGATATGAACAAAAAATTTTTAATAAGAGTTTTAAAATAAAAATAAACCTTCAAATATCCAGCAATAAAAATGTTTAATAAAAACGTTTTCAACCGTTTTAAACGGCCATCTTCAGTTGAAAAAGAACACTAAAAAAGAACGCATGAAATACGAATTAAATAGAAACCAAAGTGCGCATGCGCAATTTATCGGACTTGCGTCGTCTGAAAGTCTATAAATAACTTGCAAGTAACATAAAAATAATAAAGCCGCCAGAAAAGAAGGGGGGGAGGAATATAAGTTGACTACAAGATGTTAATCTGTGTTATTGTAAAAGGATTTCCAGGCATAGGATAACCCTTCTGCATCCCTATGATTAATGCATCCCTTATTTATGTGAGCCTTGTGTATCTCTATCTTCTCAAGGTGTTTCACTGCCTGTCTGGAATTCGCAGTTTTTATTTTAAATTATTCATTCCAGTATAAGTTCTTGTTATAAGAGTTTTATTAATAAGACCATCAATATCTACAGTAAACCAAAAGAAAAACTTGGAATCAAAGAAATCAGTAATAGAAGAATCGTTATCAAAAGCATTTTTATTTTTAAAGATACAATTTTCCAAACATGATATTTTAGTAAAATTAAATTTTATTCTATAATATATAATAAAAATTAAATCATTCATTTAATGCTAGTAAAAGAAAAAGAAAATAATAATAATCTGTATTGCAAACAAAATATACAAATATGTTGAAAAAAACAAGAACATTCTTACAGAAAAACAAAAAAGGTTGCCATAGAAATCACAGGGGATGTAAAAAACAGTTACTCAGATTCAGTCATTCTATGGCAAGCATACAAACAATACAGAAACATACACATGGCAAATATAGACTGCAGAAAAGCATTCGACAATGTTCCACCCACTTGGCTGTTGTACACACTTCACATCTATAAAATCCATTCCCAGATCATTAGTTTCCTTTGTTTTACCATGCTTCACTGGAGAATAACATTACATCTTAACCTCCATAACACTTACATAAAAACAAATCAAATATACATTAAGTGAGGAAATTTTCAAGGAGATTCCTTGAGTTCTTTTTGGTTCTGCCTTGCATTTAACCCTTTATCTAAAACATTAAAACAAAAAACAATATGGTTGCAATATCATATACAACAAAACAACACTGTTCATGTTATCACATCTCATGTACTTGGATGATATCAAACTTCACACATCCACACACAATCAACTTCATCATCTCTTACAAACTACACACACACACATAAATGATATATAAATGGAGTTTGGTCTAGACAAAAGCAACTACAAAAAATACTCCACTGAAAAAGTTCTGAAGAAAGGAGACACTGTACTTAGAAGTGGAAATATTGAATCCATGGAAGATGGAAAGTTTTACAAATATTTAGGATTTCAACAGGCCAAACTTACAGAACATGCACAGATAAAACAAAGATTAACACTCAAATACCTGTAAGGTCTCATTTTGTTTTGTTTAGTGGTGGCGCCATTGTCGCCACAGATTGCCATGTTTGATTGTTCGTATCGCCACTTGTTCTAGCTGGTAAGCTACAAATGTTAAATTACTTATTTATTAGTTGCATTATGTTCGTTTTTTCATCCCTAACGTTAGCTCTCATCATATCGAAACCTTATATNTCTGTGATTCCCAAGCCATAGTCTTATGCAAATCATGCCGTGTGGCGTAATTGTCTGCTGACCAATCAGTGGCTGTACTTTCAAAAAGCCAACGGCCACTTTCAACCATCTGTCGATGACCGTTACGACTAAAAAAACTTCGCTAGGTCTTACTTTGAGGGGGAGGTCTTATATTTTGCAATTCAGCAAAATCTGTGCTAGGTCTTATTTTCTGCGGATGTCTTATTTTCGGGAAAACACGGTAATAATAATAATAATAATGACAAATATATGGCACTACAGAAAGCTGCAATGTTAAAACACGTGTCACATTATTAGGAAATTTCTAGATGTTGACACAAATACCAATAACACAGACGATTGATGTGGCATTGTTTGGGTAGCTATGTCTTGACTTTAGTTTGTCATAGCACTTGGAACCAATATCAGCTGAGCATGAACATTTGAAATAAATAAATAAATAAAAAAAAAAAGAACAATAAAAGAACAAAGAAGGCAGCTCCACATGACAAAGAAATTACATTTGAAGTAACCAAAAGCCTAAACTTGTACACATATCAGACTTTTGGTCACATATTGGAGATAGACACAAATCAGAGATGGTCGCATAATAGAGGTCTATGTCCTACTTAAACCAATTGAAAATTTTGAAAATTTTTCTGTTAGTCTTATATTGAAGATAGACACANAATCACAGGGGATGTAAAAAACAGTTACTCAGATTCAGTCATTCTATGGCAAGCATACAAACAATACAGAAACATACACATGGCAAATATAGACTGCAGAAAAGCATTCGACAATGTTCCACCCACTTGGCTGTTGTACACACTTCACATCTATAAAATCCATTCCCAGATCATTAGTTTCCTTTGTTTTACCATGCTTCACTGGAGAATAACATTACATCTTAACCTCCATAACACTTAC